GTGTTTGTGTTGCCAAGAAGCACTGAATGTGTGAATAGCATTCGTCTGCTGTGGGCGAATATTCATTTCACAGAGTTGTGGATAATATCATGACAATAGGAGAAAAGTTTTCTATTTTCACTTTTGGTTTTGCTCTTAAAGTAAAAACTATACTATACTAGGAAAGAAAATGACAGAATGACAAAAAAATTGCACCTAAGTTATTTTTTCAAAAACCACATCGTCTTTGAATAGAACCTAATAAAAATTATGCAAAACGAAAGATCTAACTCCTATCTTCAAACAAATGCTTACTTATGTGGCAAAGTTATCATTGATGCATAGAATAGTTGATGTTCCGTATGATCAAAACGCTCAATGCACCAATCACATTTAAAAAACAGAGTAAATTTTGTTATGCTTGTTTTTTTTTTATCAAGAATTGGCGCCAGACTCAACGCTACTAAGCAACGGAAAACTTCCTCCAAATACGACATCTATTTTGTATCCTCAATATCTCGTTCCCAGACTTCCCGGACTTCATCGCTTTTCCTTAGTTTGTGGCTTGCAGGAAATACACAACATACAAAACAAGGCAAGCACTTCATATCCGTCGGTTGCGTAGAAAACTTGCATTATTAAAATATAAGACAACAATTTTATTTCAACTTTGATTTATTTACGAAAGGTGGACTAAGCTGCAAAAATCACTTAGAGGTTTGGTGAACGTCTAAGAGAACTAGGAAACGTTCTTCGAGTTATCTATGCGGAGTACTTTCTCATCATAATTCATCTTTAGGTCTTGTCATGGTCTTGACCTTGTCTACAGCTTTTTCCATGGATCTAACAACTGAAAAAAAATATGAACCGAGAAAATTAGAGAGTAATGTAATTTGTAATTCATTCATTCATTCATTATTTTTTTCCTTGGAAGACATCTAGAAGTTATCCATACGAAGGATGTTTGCCATCTAATTAGTTAACGTTTCAAACAAAAAATCTCAAAACCAACATATTTTTGAATGAAAGGAATCCATATAATCTTAGACCCTCTATAAAAAGGTTTACTTTTACAGCCAGCAAATGTCTTCAGTAAAAAGACATTCGGGGACCGTGGCTGCTCCAAAATTATGGAATAACCTTCCTCTGGATTTACGTAGCTTTACNTTTCTAATCAGGAGGTTGCTGAAATTTAAATAACACTTTGAATGATTTACTCCAATTCGTTGTTGAAGCATTTCCTTTAATCCTGGGCTTTAATATTCATGAAATAAGTTGCTCAAATTAGGAAATTCACGAACATAGCACAATTTTATGTCTTATTCTCTTTAGAGAGAGATCTCACTTCTTTCAAATGCATTTGTTCAAATTTCTGTCTACAGAAGGGCGTAGCCTAACGTAATCTTATGAGAATTCTTTGAAAACCGTTGTAAGTCGATTAAAAAACGAAAAGTTCGAGTTTTTTATATACATGATTGTTGAACCTGCAGTTATTGAGATCATAACAATGAATAAATCATGTGAGGCAATCTGGACTTATAGTCAAAGATTCATATTGCATATGCCGAACGTTGTGTCAATATCCCACTCAACGAAAACAAAACATGTTTTTGTTCCGATCTCAATCTCTGTGTCAACGATGAATAAATCATGTGGGTCCGCCCGGAATTAGAATAAGGGATTCATAACGCATAAGTCGAACTTTGTGTCAAGATTGAACTAACGGGACACAAAATATGTTCTTGTTCTGGCTCTCAGTCTCTTTGCCAACAACTATGGTATCAGGACTTGGTCGGATGAGTACAAACGATTTGCATGCTGTAAACTTTGTGGCAGAGATCAGAGGACGTAAGCTTGTTGGGCGGGTTATCGAAGAGACAAAAGTGGATTCAGAAGACACATGCCAGTGGCAATGTGTAGACGAAAGCCGTTGTCTGTCTTACAACTTTGGACCGGCGGAAGATGGGAAGATATTTAAATGTCAGCTAAGCGACTCTGATCGATTTGCTGCGTTAGAAAATTTTATTCAAGAGGACGAATTTTCCTACAGGGGAATACAGGTATTGCGAAATTGGGCGTAATGGAGGAAAATACAAGTGAGAAAAGAAAAAGAGAAGTTTTCAGACAAGCATTTATTTCCCATAAAAAATCTTCTCTGATTTGATATTATGCCTCACCAATTTTTCAAGTTGTACCACTCACTTTCCTTGAACTTATCGGTGAAAAGATTACAGTTTAAAATTCTTCCTTCTGTAAGAAAAGCTAAACAGTACAATTTTTAGAGCTTTCCGAGTTATTAACATTTAATATTTTTATGCTAGAACGAAAGGTATAGATGGATTTAATTTCAAGGCTCATTTTGGGCCCGTTTACAGTTTCTACGCCTCATTTAGGCTACGTTCATTGAAACTCGCAAGGAAGATCATTTCGCGACCACAGCAGGGAACATGAATTTATATTAATAAAAGCAAAGTCCAAAAATTTATTGGGAACAGGGAACGAAAGGAAAAGTGGGAAAAAAAAGTTTGAGAAAAGGAAAAGTCCGCTTTCAGTTAGTGTGGACAAGGCTTTCTCTTAGATTCTACCAAAGGCGACTGCTCTCGTTTACCATTAGATGAAGATTCTTATTTCTCAATGTTTTGCGAAATGCGACAGATATTCCCTACTGTTGTGCGGTGCAAGACGTCGCAGCGATGCAAACTAACTATGAAAATTAAGATCCCAGACAATAACCGGAAAAAACGTTCTTCAAAAGGCCTTTGGAATTGATATTGATTTTGGTGTTGACATCAATCTTGCTCGAGAACGTTTTCGCGCTTTTGCCCGGCTTCAACCTTTTGGAACGTCTCATCGACGAAAAAAATGTCGAATCCTTTCATCTCTTTTTTAAATCAGTTGAAGAAAGTTTGAGAAACACTCAAAAAAAAATCCGTACTTGTCCTTTAAAAGCCTCTAACTCGAACTATTATAATTCATATTAAGGGAATAAAAATAGTTAATCCAAGATTTTTTCTTCAAAGAGTGCTTGTGAGGAAGACAGTTTTCAATGCGGCAAAAAAGGAATCTGCATTCCCAACTATAAAGATGGCAGCGTACGATGCAAATGTGACGATGACTATACGGGAAAACCCTGCAGTAAGCTGAGGAGTTAGATATTTTGTTGTTTCGACATCAGTTATTGTTTAATTATCTATAAAATCAATTTCTAAATTCTCTTCGTTTTCTTGCCAACAGAAGCGAGAAGCTGCTCTCAGCTATTCCAAGATGGTCTCAATTCGAGTGGGGTGTTTACCGTCAATCCAGATGGCGGCAAAGCAATACAAGTGTTGTGCGATATGAAAACGGACGGTGGAAGTTGGACCGTTTTGCAAANAAGAGCTATTCGGCGCAATATTCAGAATACTTCTTAAAAGATTGCCTCTGCTTTGAGTGGAATTAAAAGAAAACGACAGAAATCGTATCCCTTTTAATATAATATTAGTTTGTACAATAGTTTAATCCTACCACATTTTGATTACTGTAATGGTGTTTGGGTAAAATGCACACTTGCCCCTCTGAAAGTGTGCAGAAGCTCCAAAACGTGCTACACGCAATCTAATGCATGTAAGCAATGAACTTAATATTAAGGAGCTGATCCGTGTCCTAGGTTGGCGTAAACTCAATCATAGAGGTCTAGCAGCTGCTTCAGTGTGATGTACAAGAAAGACACTGCACGGAATGACTCCCTAATTTCTAAGATCTCGACTGGTGCCTGAAAATGACGTTTCTTCCTCCCGAATAAGGAATTCCGAAAAAAAATTTTGCAATTACACAGCCCTACACCAATTATTTAAAAATAAGTTTCTCTTACCATGGTGCTGAAGCGTGAACCAGCCTATCCCAACCTCTGCGTTCTATAGCTTCCTTAAATGAATTCCAAAAGCAGATTACGTCATGACAGCTTTCTAATGAGACACGGCATCCTTGATAAGCATCCTTTGGACATGATAGGTCTTATCTTTTTTTTTATTTGCTAGATTCGAAAGATTTTTTACCAGTAAATTTTACTGAGGGAATTTTTCACCGTAAGCAAATAAAGTTAACAATCAATCTTTGTCTATCTATTTGTCTTATTGGGTGTCTATCTCTACTATCTCTATGCAAATTTATTGATATAATTCTATAAGTAGATTCCGTTGCAAAGCCTTCTTAACAGAATACATTCTCCACACATTTAAGTTTGATAGAGAGAGGCTTACATGAGATTTTATTTCATTTCAGCAATATGCAGTTTTCTACCAAAGATCAAGACAATGATCTCGGTCAACACGTGTCCAACTGCGCCCAACAATACAAGGGAGCCTGGTGGTACAAAAACTGCCATGGCTCAAATCTGAATGGATTATACCTTGCTGGTCCCCATGCTTCTCTTGCTGATGGAGTCAACTGGAAAGCTTTCAAGGGTCATCACTACTCACTGAAGCGCACTGAGATGAAAATCAAAACCAAGATATAAGGCGATGTCTATCCAAGAGTAGCTGACAAGGAAATTAGACGATTTGAAGTTAAACCCGCTCTAAACCTAACTTAGCAAGTAAATACATACACATGATGACATCGTTAAATTAGACTTTTTTCATAGCTTCAATACAATTCAATCCGACAGACAATTAATTAGGAGCATCCTTAAGTAAACGTTTTCGTACCTTTATTCATAAAAAACCGCCTGTAACAGCAATTACTTTACGGAACTGACTGTAGAACATTTGTAAAAGCGATGACGGTCCATGAAGTGTTGATTGACTTTCAGTGGGCTGAACTCGTGCATAAAGCTCATCGGTCGCTCACCTGATTTATTATTCGCGTCACCGTCAGAGCGAAAAAAGAGTAGCCTTCAAGTACAACTTCGATTAACTCAAAATTTGCGACCAATATTCTAAACGTACCATTTACATTGTAGTCTCCTTCGCAGCCATTGTTTGGTCACATCATGTGCTCTCTCCACCATCATTGAAGACTTATATTGACTCGTATTCAAGAGCATTGTGAAGCATTAATCGAGTATGAAAAAAAGTCTTGTGACAATTCTCTTGGTTTGTTCGAAGTTCAGTCACCCCAAATCCTCTATATATGGAAATTAGTGTCGGATTTCTGCCCTCCCGTCACGCCTGGCGAGTTTTCTTAGTTGAATTTCTCCACAATGTTCGTTCAGTTAAATCAGTTCCAGATATTGGCACAACAACTTAAAAAATACCTTCTAAGTCGAAAACTTATCGCCACTGTAGTGTAGAGACAGAAATTTTTCGTCACAATTCTTTTCAGTCTCTTTTCTGATTACCCATCTAATTAACAAATTGACGTCAATTTTCCATCGTCTGTAACATTGTTGATCATAAAAATGACTGCAACAACGTTAAAAACTAAAGCGAAACCACTAGCGCAGCCGAGTGGCTTTTATTAAAGTTTTCTTAAGCCTGCTTGTGCGGGTAAACTTTCGGAAAATCACGCGCGCGCGTTGTGAACCGAGAATTTCATTCTTTTTCTTGTTTGTTTTCTCCTACGTTTTCGTCCGTTTCTAATAATTCTTCAATCATTTCTGCAAGTACCCCAGTCTTTAATTTCCTACAATAATTCTACAATAATTTCCTACATTTTCGATATTTTACGTGAAGCAGGGCTTCACAGTTATAATTATGTCACACAATGATGCCAACTTAGGTAGCTTTATCTTTTACGATTTTGATCATTTCCGTAGTCGTCGTCACAGAGGCTAATAAGATTTTCAAATTTTCAAATTTTCAAAAGGCGCGAAAAACCTTCCCGAAACTCCCATCATCGCTTTCAAAATTCATTACTTATTAGCGGGAAAAACGTCTTTTAAGACTCTGCCATGTGAATAGCGGTTTTGTTTGTTAAACTGCATTCATGTAAGGTAAACAAACTCATCATAACTTTTATTCAGGTTCACAGTATTGGTAAACATGTAGATCTATTAACTCCAACTCTTCAATCAACAGAGTCTCGGTGAAAAAATGTTTAAGCACTATAAACTACTAGAAATGGAACAATGAATTTAAGGTGCACCTGACCCCTAAATTTTTTTCTCGTTTCAAAATATATTCATGCTTTGTTGAGTCTTTGAAAAAAATTTTGGCCGATTTGGTCAAATCCTTGAATTTTTGTGGCCCGTTCAAGTAAGGAAAATCGCATTAAAATCACCGCCATTTTGGCTCACGACCGCGTTTCAAGGATCAAGAGTCTGGCGACTAATGGGACTTCACTTCGAGAACCCAACAATCTGTATTTCGCGCCATTTTGCACAGTTCACTGATCATGTTTGGAAAGTTAGATCGATATTGATCGCAAATATGCCGCACATGATGTGTTGTTGGGGGTTGTAGTAACGTCAGAAGCTTGGAGAATGGAATAGCGCTCCATACGATACCGTTTTACGACGATGAGCGTCCAGAGGCGAAGAAACGAAAGAAGAGATGGATAGATTTTATGAGACTGAAACGTGCTAAATGGGAGCCATCGAAGAGTTCTGTGATATGCTCGAAGCATTTCGAGCCAGATGATTTTGTTCGAAACTACACGTTGTTGAAGGACCAAAAAACTCTATCAAATCCGTATTTAGAGCGAGACAGCTTCGGAATTACCACTCTCCCAACAATTCATACTGAAGTACATGTAGCAGAGGACGAACGACCCCTGAGTAATCGAGGCAAAAGAATGGTGGTGGTTTCCCGTAGACTCTCAACAAAGTCAATCGACAGACGACAAAAGCCACTTTTCAAACATCGGGATATTTTTTATGCGTCAGTTTTCAAACGAGACTATTTCGAACTTCATAACTTGAAAATCCAGGTGCGATATGTTTTCATAAACTCGAAAAGGAATCACACCAACCAGCACTAAATATTGCTAACCTTTCTTCGCTTCCCGTCTGCCAATACCTTTCCTTCCCTTTGGTTTTGAAGTTGTCCGCCGCTAATCTCAGACTCCACTTCGGAAGACAAACGGGATGAAATCCTGGGTGTTCAGTGATACAGGTCAGGTTAACATCAGGGGCAAGATCTTGCATGTCAAAGTCACTCTTGATCGATTCCTCGCAGCCTTCCAGTTCACAACAATAATAACATTCACTGATGTTTTGTAACAAAGTGACGTTGCAATTTCCACACTTGCACCTAAAGTTCAGCAAATTTATGTTACAGAAAAATCATCCAAGAAATACATACACAATAGCGCGAGAAGCAATCGTGCCAACACATGTAATGCATAACTAAAGCTCACGCGAATATGTATATAAGGGAGAAACCCGCGAATCTCACCGTTCCTTCTGTTCTACATTGCCCCGTAACCTGTCCTTTAGTCTTCGTTCGAGCTCTTCGTTAGCCTTCACTTCTTCTTGGTATTTTTCTATTCATTCTGCATCAGTCAGTGGCTCGTCAGTACAAGCAGCATCGTCATCGCTTGAATCGCTCGAAGTTTCTGGCAATAATGGTGAAACGCGGGATGACGGCCCTTCTTCAGTTAAAGTTCGTATCCAGCGAAAAAATTCATTTCCGAGTCGTCTGAGTAGAAGCTCGTCTCCATGTCCGATGACTCGGAAGACATTGTAATTTTCATTTTAATTTCACAGGCTACGAAGACCAAATAGAATGAATCTCGTGCTAGAAAGGCTTTTGCAGATCGACGACTGGCTGAGAATTCCTTCAGCGTCTTCTCGTAGTGACGTCACAAGTCGACTCTGCCCAGATCCCCATTTACGCGGTCGTGGTCCGTTCGGATCTCGAATTCAACGGGCCATAAAAAATTGAGGATTTAACTAAATCCAACAATTTTTTCGAAGAAATACTCACCAAAGCATGAAGATTTTTTTAAGTGAAAAAAAATTTAGGGGTCAGGTGCACTCTAATACTGATGTAGCAACAGGGATACACTTACTGTCGACAGAAAAGCAGCTCGAATTGATTTAATCGCGGTAATGATCTCTCGGCACCTGCTAGCCTAGTCAGGCAATAGATATTAAAAAAAACACTTTTTTTAATGTTTCACTTATCTTACACTTTCTAACAGTGAAGACTGCACATGCATCTCTGTATAAGGCTTCCTCTTTGTGCCGTTGTGTACGGCATAAGCCGTATTTCAGATCGGGATTTTAAGGCTGTTAACTTTGCCGACAAGATGGCGGGAAAAAAGCTGAACGGAAGCCTGATAAGAGAGGTAGAGGTGGATTCGGAAACTTCTTGTCAATCTGAGTGTGTGGATGAAGAGCGTTGTCAGTCTTACAACTTTAGGACCAGAAAGGACGACTCACTGAGATTCAAGTGTCAACTAAGTGACACTGATCGATTGACTGGATTTGTTAACTTTACCGCGGATAAAAATTTCATTTAAAGATGAATAAATGTAACCTTCGTCCCTC